TCCATTGCAGAGCACATTGATGATGTAACCCAAAGAACATGTTGCCCCAGCTCTGCTCCCCATGGCTTGGGCACGCCGGGTTTGCTGCCAAAGGACGATCTGCTTCTACGCAGTCTGTGGTAGGCGGTCAGTGGGGGCCCCTCCATCTTGGCACAAGTGTCACGACGGTGAAGCCGCGCAAATCCCAGAATGCCAATGCCAAGTCAATCCTTGTCATACGTGTTTGTTGATGTTATGATGTTATGTTACCAGTAATTTGTTGAATGTATGCCTTATTTAATAACTGCCGGGTTACATTTATGTTACACTGTGTTTTTAATGAAACCCAGACAATGGGTAGTGTCTGAAACCTGTCGCTGTTCTGCCCCAATTACCGAAGTGGTTCTGCGAGGTTGGAATTTGCAGTGCAAATCTTCATATGCGACGGAATAAATCCCCACTCTCCGTCCACTTTGACAGTGTGGACAAATTGATAAAGATCCTGGTGGAACCCCCCACCCCCACCCCCCTTTCTCTGATTCTTAACTGACCAAACTGCGCATTCAGGAATACAAGACAATTTAACCCTTAATACCTGACCCATTAAGGAATAGCCAGAAAAATCTGATTTTTGGGAACTGAGATGTTCATTAATTAACCCTTATAACAAAATCCACAAAAATATTTTTTCCATATTATTTTGTTTTAGATATTTGTTGTGTCACATTTATAAGCATTATGTAGATTATATCAAAAACTGAAAATTTGGGGAAAATCATATTTTAAACCTGCAGTATCAAATTTGATACAGATGATTTAATGTACTATATAGAATGAGTTACATAATGAAACTGCATGTATCAAATATGATACGAATGGCATTATAGGGTTAAATCAATTAAAGTGACAGACTCTTTTAACTCAGCACTCCCATTTGTTGCAAGCCGCTCTGCGACAACTGCACATAAAGTTCTAAAGGTCATTGTGAAGCAACTCCAAAAACGAGGGCAAGGTTAGGTTGAGTGACCACTATTTTCCAGATGAGCAACGCCCAAAAAGGATACAAGATGATCTTTTCTCAATTGCCTCTATAAGCACACCTGACAAATGTTACTTAGCATTATTTAAGATGGTTTGGTTTTTTTTTTTAACGCTGTCATGCACCCTGTAACCTGATAACACGATAAGCTGTCCACTGTAGTAACTGCTGTCCCTGACAGGGTTAAAGATGATAGTGTCACAGTACGGGAAGAAGGAAAAACTAAATGTAGGCAAGCAGGGAGGTGAGGTTGGAGTCCACTCAAACCCTGGAGAACCCAAGAACCCTTTTCCTATTTGGAAAATGATGAATTATACATTAAATGACTGCTATATGTTCACTGAACACCAAAATATGTTTTTTCAAATATTCAATGCCTTACTCCTAATTTAGGATCAGGGCCAAATTTGACCCTTTGGGATTTAAGGGTAGCATTTGAGTAGCAGAATTTATAGGGGCCAAATTGGACCCTGTGAGTTCTCCAGGGTTAAAGGAACAAATACTCAAAAAAACGTACGAGGGTGGATCATAAACTAAAGTAATCTGTGAGAGCTGGAGAAAATTCATGAAAAGGACCGATAGACACTTCTCACGGAAATTCCTTAGTTCCGACACCCCTAGCAAAAGTACTAACAGCCACACCACTCTGCTTCAGAAGACATATAGAGTACATTTACCAAGATACTCTCATTTATTATTTACAAAAGTGATCAATGTTTCACGTGGTGAGGCATGGATCATAATACAGAGAGTCGTGTCAAATATTTAACTTCATTGGACTGTATAAAAAAGCGCAATAACTTACCTTTTGTAGGCTAGTTGGATTCAACTGAGTTTTGTCGATGATTTTTATTGCGACCTGGAAAAAAAAAGAGCGAGAGAGAGAGAGAGAGAGAGAGAGAGTGAGAGAGAGAGAGAGAGATTTTTAATGATCTGAACAGACCAGAATTATATTTAATTAAAAGTATCACAAGGTGAACATTGACTGGTTTGAATAATGATGTCACATTAGATTAGCTAAAAGTATGGTTGACTGCCATATATTATGTATTTACACTTCAATATTTTATTTTATTTTTTTTATATTAGATTGAATTCAATTGTGCCAAATCACAACTGTTATCTCAGAGTTTATTGATATAGGGCATATTTAGGCTCATATTGCTCACATAAGTAATGGCACCCCCTCCGTGAGCCGTCACCTTACCGTGGTGGATTCAGCTGTCAAGAAAAATGAGTAAATATACTGTGGGGGTTACCATATGTATTGCACTATAAGGCGCACCTAAAAACATTCAATTTTCCCAAAAGCCAACAGTGCGCCCTATAATTAAATGCACCTTATGTATGGTGTTACACAATCTCTTTATATTCCCCATTGAGTTATTTCCCTGTTAGTGTTCCTATCCCATCTCGTGGTGATTATTAGCAGGAACCAATTGTAACCTAAAAGGGTTCTGCCCGACACAAATTCACATGTGCATTCGCCAACGCACACTCAAACAGACAGCTACTTTGTGAGCTCTGCGTGGCCATGATGAAACAAAGATAATACCAAAAGCAGAGTCAACTACTGACTAAACGAAGGAAGAAGGAGACAAGCAAGACTTCGAAGGATATTTATCCACTTGTTGATGTGAGCCCACAAGGTTTGTGTGCCTTTTTGTTGAAGCAATTGTTTTCATAACTTTTGTCTTTCATGTATTGTTTTGTATTTGTATTTATATGTTTCATGTTCATGTTTGTGACCAGCTCTGCATAACTTTGCTCTGTACAAACAAAGCTGTATTGTATTGTATTCCCTTTAGCATATCTCTATCGAGTGGATGCATACCGCAGCCGTTAATGTAGCTTCTATTCTATGCGCCTTATAATGCACCCTATATATGAAAACAGTTTTGAAATAGGCGATTCGCTGAAGATGCTCCTTATAATCCGAAGTGCACTATAGTGCAGAAAATACGGTACTTTGAGGTTCTTCTAAACGATGGATGTTTCAAATAAGCATTGCTGCGTGCTACCTTTCAACAAATTCAGCCACTATAATAGCAAAATACGGTACTCTCTTTGAGCAAACCAATGTGGGGTCCTAATAATATGATAGCCATGTATTCATATCCTCGAAGAAAAAAAAAAGCTGATTTTTGTGGTCCACGTAGTCCATTGCAGAGCACATTGATGATGTAACCCAAAGAACATGTTGCCCCAGCTCTGCTCCCCATGGCTTGGGCACGCCGGGTTTGCTGCCAAAGGACGATCTGCTTCTACGCAGTCTGTGGTAGGCGGTCAGTGGGGGCCCCTCCATCTTGGCACAAGTGTCACGACGGTGAAGCCGCGCAAATCCCAGAATGCCAATGCCAAGTCAATCCTTGTCATACGTGTTTGTTGATGTTATGATGTTATGTTACCAGTAATTTGTTGAATGTATGCCTTATTTAATAACTGCCGGGTTACATTTATGTTACACTGTGTTTTTAATGAAACCCAGACAATGGGTAGTGTCTGAAACCTGTCGCTGTTCTGCCCCAATTACCGAAGTGGTTCTGCGAGGTTGGAATTTGCAGTGCAAATCTTCATATGCGACGGAATAAATCCCCACTCTCCGTCCACTTTGACAGTGTGGACAAATTGATAAAGATCCTGGTGGAACCCCCCACCCCCACCCCCCTTTCTCTGATTCTTAACTGACCAAACTGCGCATTCAGGAATACAAGACAATTTAACCCTTAATACCTGACCCATTAAGGAATAGCCAGAAAAATCTGATTTTTGGGAACTGAGATGTTCATTAATTAACCCTTATAACAAAATCCACAAAAATATTTTTTCCATATTATTTTGTTTTAGATATTTGTTGTGTCACATTTATAAGCATTATGTAGATTATATCAAAAACTGAAAATTTGGGGAAAATCATATTTTAAACCTGCAGTATCAAATTTGATACAGATGATTTAATGTACTATATAGAATGAGTTACATAATGAAACTGCATGTATCAAATATGATACGAATGGCATTATAGGGTTAAATCAATTAAAGTGACAGACTCTTTTAACTCAGCACTCCCATTTGTTGCAAGCCGCTCTGCGACAACTGCACATAAAGTTCTAAAGGTCATTGTGAAGCAACTCCAAAAACGAGGGCAAGGTTAGGTTGAGTGACCACTATTTTCCAGATGAGCAACGCCCAAAAAGGATACAAGATGATCTTTTCTCAATTGCCTCTATAAGCACACCTGACAAATGTTACTTAGCATTATTTAAGATGGTTTGGTTTTTTTTTTTAACGCTGTCATGCACCCTGTAACCTGATAACACGATAAGCTGTCCACTGTAGTAACTGCTGTCCCTGACAGGGTTAAAGATGATAGTGTCACAGTACGGGAAGAAGGAAAAACTAAATGTAGGCAAGCAGGGAGGTGAGGTTGGAGTCCACTCAAACCCTGGAGAACCCAAGAACCCTTTTCCTATTTGGAAAATGATGAATTATACATTAAATGACTGCTATATGTTCACTGAACACCAAAATATGTTTTTTCAAATATTCAATGCCTTACTCCTAATTTAGGATCAGGGCCAAATTTGACCCTTTGGGATTTAAGGGTAGCATTTGAGTAGCAGAATTTATAGGGGCCAAATTGGACCCTGTGAGTTCTCCAGGGTTAAAGGAACAAATACTCAAAAAAACGTACGAGGGTGGATCATAAACTAAAGTAATCTGTGAGAGCTGGAGAAAATTCATGAAAAGGACCGATAGACACTTCTCACGGAAATTCCTTAGTTCCGACACCCCTAGCAAAAGTACTAACAGCCACACCACTCTGCTTCAGAAGACATATAGAGTACATTTACCAAGATACTCTCATTTATTATTTACAAAAGTGATCAATGTTTCACGTGGTGAGGCATGGATCATAATACAGAGAGTCGTGTCAAATATTTAACTTCATTGGACTGTATAAAAAAGCGCAATAACTTACCTTTTGTAGGCTAGTTGGATTCAACTGAGTTTTGTCGATGATTTTTATTGCGACCTGGAAAAAAAAAGAGCGAGAGAGAGAGAGAGAGAGAGAGAGAGAGAGAGAGAGAGAAATGGCACAACAAATCTTTAAATGAGGCAAGTTCAAATAAAAAAAATAAAAAAATCTTTTGAAAAACACTCAGGAAGAGGCAGACATCTGTCTTCACCAACTGTATAAAACTACTAACAATAACAACAATAATAATACAATAACCACCATTACACAGTATTTTTCTCTCATTTTTTTTCAAATCAAATCTTATAATGAGATTATTCATAATACTGTCAAATATTAATCTTTTCCGATTGTTTATTGTGGTTGGCTGATGAAAAGTTAAAGCGGACCCAATTGACTTCTCTTGAATTTGTATAAATTCTGTATATTTAAGATGGACAATTTATAGAGAGACAGGTGGCGCATGATGTTGAGCATCATCACAATCCCAGGATGAAGTGGACACACGGGTATTACTGTACATACTCATACTCACAAAACATTAAGCGTTATTCTGCTTTCAGATGAAATAGAATGCACTTTAACCCCGATGATGTTGACCCATCGCAAAACTTCTAAATTTTGCTCTTCGGCTCCTTGCTACAGAAGAGCAAAAAATAGTTAAACATTGAAGAGCTAATAAGCATTCAAAAGTTGAGAGAAGGTCAAAACCCGTTAAGTTTATCTGTATTTACGTTTATCCTGAAATATTTTTGTGAATAGTCTGTAAAATACAGAATCCAGTGAATTGATTAAAAATGACAGTTTCATTACTTTTTGAACAATTTGTTCCCATATAACCAGGAGCTAAACGGCAAAATCTACAACCGGTATTTAATCAGGGAATCAAAGCAAGACATAATATCGTACTTGGAAATGGATTAATCGTGGATAAAACGCCTGTTGGGAATTTTGCGCTTCGGCTCCTTGCTACAGAAGAGCAAAAATTAATAAAACATTGAATAGCTACAAATAAGTATTCAAAAGTTGAGAGAAGGTCAAATAAAGTCCACCCGTAAAGGTTATAATGTATTTACGTTTATCCTGAAAAATGTTTTTGTGAGTAGTCTATAAAATACAGAGTCCAGTGAATTGATTAAAAATGACAGTTGCCTTAAAACTGCCAACGTTAAATGAGCAGAATACTTCTTATTAACTATTTGAGTTTCCTCATCTTGGTAATGTTTCAGTCACTCTGTCTCCCTTCATTATTACTGTATATCAATAGCTGGTGTCTTACCTCTCTGCCTGTCAGGATGTGGCGCGCCAACTTGACCTTGGCAAAATTTCCCTTGCCGATGGTCTTGAGTAAACGATAGTTTCCGATGTGGGGTTGCTCGTCAGAGCAGGAGGCGATAGAGTTCCTGCACCGGGCGCCAAGCGAACGGCTGGACTGACTCGTAGCCTTGTCTGAACGGCTGGCCCCCAGCAACACATGCTATAAAAAAATATTAGAAGAAAAAGGAGAAAAGAAAAAAAAAATTAATTACACAGAGAAGAAGGTTGGCCAATGAGCTCCAGACACACCCACTCCGGAAAAGTGAAAATGATCGCCAGGGCTTGATTTTCGTGACCAGCGCAAGTCTGGCACGAGACACACTCTAAATCTGCGCAGGGGCGGGCTTGACTTAGTATTCGTAATTTCTCAGATGTACACCGCTTGCAGCTCTGTGAATGCGAACACAGCCAACTTGATTTGTCGCTAATACAAGCTTCTCCTCTCATTCAATAATCGGAGCGTGAGAGGCGCACAGTCGTTGACGTAGCAGAAGAAAAAACTAATTTGCTGGAGTCCACAAAGAAGGCACTTGGACACTGCCTTCCAACCCATTCCTAAATATTTGTAACATTTCCAAACACCCTCCCTGGTGCCTCTACCCATCTTGTTTCTGGCATCGTATAACCCCGATTTTGGCAAGCTGATGCAGATCCATCGGAAGCTCGGAGCCACCATACAAGCAAATGGCTGCATGAGGCCCCCATAGCAGTCAAGCCGATAGAGGCCCCAGTTTTAGCCCAACAGCTTTTCAAGGACCCTGTGCGCTTGCTCAAGGACCACCTTCCAACCACCTTCCGACTCAACTGCTGAACATCGCTCTATTACCTGTCCATGCCACGCCTGGGCAACCTGGACGGCTATGTCAGTCACCAGTCCACATTGAGAATAGCGAGACCAGAACTTCAAGGAAGTCACTTGTCACCGAGATGGCATATCTAGCGGCGCAAGCCCTGCGATCCATCATTTGTCTCGACTGGTCGGTCAAGACATGACGTCATCCACCTGCAACTCTGTTGGTCCGTTGTCGTGGCCATCCATCTCAAAGCCATGATTAACCCCATGTGCTTGGCATCCTGGGTATCCTCCTGCCCGGCCCTAATGCCCACTTGTCTGGCATGCCAAACCGGCCCCCAAGGGCCACTTTGTCCTCTTTTTCTGGTCATCCTCCAGAATGACCTCGACGAGCCAAGTCTTCTGGCTCTTGTACCTTGTCCCAGGTCCACTCGCGCTTACTCTGATTTGAACTGTTTTGGTGGATATCCATCCGTTAGGGGGGTGACACTGTCATGATCTGTGCTTTTATTCGGCTTGTTGGTTTTACTCTGGAACAGATCGTGTCTTTGGGTTTATTTGGAGTTTCATTTTCCTCTGTGCTCTTCGTTCTCACCAACCCTGCTCCCCTTATGTCTACAAATCGGCTCACTTCAGCCCTTCCTGTCATGTCCAGGTGTGCCTCATTGTCTCCTCAGTCTGTTTGTATTCTTTCATTCTGAGATTGCCATTGTCACATCTCATGTTGCCTGTTGTCAAGTCAGAAATATTTGTTTTTTGGACTTTTAGTTATTTAGTGTTTATCCTGCCGCTCCAGTACTTTTTGCTTTGACTTTTTGTTAGACCTGAGTTTACCCTGCACTGCTTCTTTACCTCCCCTGCGCTTGTGTCCATCTTTTCCCACCATAGCAATATGACAAATCCCGCAAATGTGACAGCGGGGAATATGTCCCCAAAAACAAACAACTGAAAGTGGTGGTGGTGAAAGCCCGGAAAAGCATCACAGAAGAAGAATTCGAAAGTTTGGCGATGTCACAAGCAGGATGCAGTTATTCCAAGCAAAAAGTACACTACAGTACTTAATATTAAGTCTTAATCTGTTTGCATTGTATTGTTTCCAATTTTTCTGCTTGTCTTAAAAGGAATGTTTCTTTATAAATAATGCCAACTACTAATCTTCAAAGCTGTTGCCCAGTACATATGTTAATAACTCATAAAAGTTCCACTGTTGTCCTCTTGTCCCATTTTCATCTTTTGAAGTACATACAGCAAAACTGTCTACCGCAAAACCGAAACAAAACTTTCGAACTCAGAGGGTGCTTTATAGTCAGACATATAAGATTTGTTGATTAATTGAGAATTGTGAGCAATTTAACTTCAGATTGATTTGTACTGTTACAAAGATTTTGAAAAAGTATTAAAACAATTGCGTGCATTTTCAAAAGTACTTTCTGCCATGAAAAATCATCAACGATCTTTTGCGCTCACTCAAGGCGATTCGTAGACTGGGAAACAAGAGCCAAAAGCAGAAGGCGGAGGAACCAGGATGTTAGAGTGATAAGTGGGTGAGGTACACAAAGACAAACAAATAAAAGGAGGTTATACTCAAAAAGGGAGCAGATGCCGACACAGTAGTCCCTGGCCAGTTCCGGGCCCTGAGGCATCACACTTCCATTCACCGAGCTTGCCATCTACACACATGCGCACACACATACACACATGCACACACATACACAAAAACAGGCAGATACAAACTCTCAAACAGTTCCTCCCTTCCGTAGTGCCATTCCTCCTCTCACGCCACATCTCTGGAGCCAATTTTGGATCTCTCTCCCAATAAACATCGGCAGTGACAAGACACAAGCAAAAGCACTGTGGGGGCTTTTTTTTTTCTTTAACAGCAAGAGGGCCAAGCACGTGAATCCACACGTCAACCCAAGCCTCACCTTCACCAACGTGGCGACAACATCTCTATTGTTCAAATCAATCATCGACCCTAATCACTTCGTTGTGGAAAGCAGATCAAGATGATTCGAATGGGAACGGGTGAATGTGAATTCATTATCAATCATGCATCTTGCACGCATACACTCTCTGGCTTAACCATCCTTTTGTGCTAAAAGCTCTGCTAACAATCAAGCGGGTTGGGGGGAGGGGGGGTCATGCAATAAGTGTAGAGAAATAACATCACGCAACATCCATCGGTGATGTCACAGATAGATAGATAGATAGATAGATAGATAGATAGATAGATAGATAGATAGATAGATAGATAGATAGAGAGATAGATGCCACACAGTGTCAACCCTCTGTCTGCTTTGCACAGGAACTGGATGTATGGCGCTGTCTGACACCCACTGGCTGTGGGGTTGGGCGCTAAGCAGCCTGCGCAAGCGGTGACTGCACATCATTCCATGAAGTAATCCCCTGTCGCTTCATACGAACAAGCCAGGCAGGTGTACTCTACATTTGTTTTGGCCTGTGCAGCCGTCCCACCCACCCGATTGCCGGAGAACGAATGCATGCATGCACACAGAGGAAGCAGCAGCGGCAGCAGCAGCAGCAGCGACGGTTATTGTGACATCACAATCTCCGTCCAGCCTTCTAATAAGATGTGACACCTGCTTTGAAGGCTTTCTGCGCATATTGGTTATTACATGCAGAGTGCCTTCCTGCACTGAGCTATACATGCATGTCCAGGCACTCAAGGTTAGCCCGTTTTAAGACTCTCTCTCTCTCTCTCTCTCTCTCTCTCTCTCTCTCTCTTTTTTTTTCTTACACAAATATAAATCCAATACTACCCCTCGAATCCCAAACGTTAAAAACACATAAACGGATCAAGCTACGCATCCAACCCGCACCATTAACGTAGCAGCGAATGCATACCAGCGAAGGCCAAAATGATGAAAATATTTGTTTTAAGGTCGCACATATCTTCCCGAATGCCCCCAAAACAGGCTTTAGGCTGCAGCTGCACTTACATGGTCTCCGGTACTCCTGTCGTTGCCAGACGGTAATGCAGATCGAGAGGACATGTTTTCTTTCTCCCCTTTCCCTGAGTGACAATCGCGACGTGTTTTGAGTGAGCGGTTCTTGTAGGCTCCACCGGCAGAATAACATCCGCAGATGCGACCCACCGTCCCGAATCAATCTGCCTCTTCTCCAACCGGCCGAGCCGCGGTCGAGAGCAGTCCTCTGCCTGTCATGGCAGCAATTGATATCCGGAGGGGGGTGTCCTCAAAGCAGCTGCATCTTCCATCCACCATGCACTTTGCAAAAAAAAAAAAAAAAAAAATGGAGACGAGAGAAAACGGTCGATCAGTGATGCAGCAAATGCAAATCCGGAGCATGGAATAGGTGCTAAAATGCAAAGATGTTTGGCCGGAGCCCAGCGTCTCTGTGGCGACTATCCACCCCCTGCCTCATTGCTGCACAAAACAAACACGGCTTATTCAGGATACGTGTCATCTCCGTCGATCATAACGCGCGCATAAAATAGCACTTTTTAAAAAAAATTTAGCCCATCGACGCTGATGCAAAACGCACGCTTAGCGACAGCACACGGGAGGTACCGCCGAAGGTGCAGCAGGGGGGGGAAAAAAGGCCGAAGTGGTCAGCAATCGGTATTCTCCGTCTGCGTGTTGCGCTGCACCACCAAGCCACGAAGAAGAAGAAGGAGCTCGGGCAGGACTAACAAGACTAAAAGCATCAAACGGCGCGCGTCGGCCTTGATCATCAGCACTGCGTCCATGCCCTTTTGAAGCAGGAGCAAAACTAGGAACTGAACATGAGGGGTGCTCAGACCCCCTAAATCAGAACATGAATCGTACTGCAATATTAAAAAAAAAAACCAAGAAGAAAAAAAAACATCGTTTAAAAAAAGAATATTGCGAAAGAAAATTAATTGCGGCAATGGCAAATAATTTTAACCACTTTTTTAGATACTCATTACAGTATTAAAATCCACTGATTGATCTCTGATAGCGTCAAAAATAATTACAACTGAAGAGACTATTATAATAGACCTGGTTTAGGCTGGACTGGTTATTGAAACTGGAGGCAAAAAAATCACAAGGTATAAACTGTTATTTGATTTGATATTGCTGGCTATGTTTATTTGATTATAATTGTTAATGCAAGTTTTGGTCCTCGTCTTTTAATTTGGAAGGCAAAGTTTGACACTTCCTGTCTAATCTGTCTGTCTGGTTTTCCTTTACACGGGCGAGCTGTGCCATCCATTTTCCGATCCACTTTATCCTCACAAGGGTCGCAGGGGGTGCTGGAGCCTATCCCAGCCATCTTCGGGCAGCAGGCGGGGGACACCCTGAACCGGTTGCCAGCCAATCGCAGGGCACACACAGGCGAACAACCATTCACGCTCACACTCACACCTATGGGCAATTTAGAGTGTTCAATCAGCCTGCCATGCATGTTTTTGGAATGTGGGAGGAAACCGGAGTACCCGGAGAAATCCCACGTAGGCCCGGGGAGAACATGCAAACTCCACACAGGGCGGCCGGCGCTGGCATTGAACCCGGTACCTCTGCACTGTGAGGTCTTTGTGATAACCACTGGATCACCGGGCTGCGAGCTGTGCCACAGCACATAAACTGACAGATTAAACTCAACATTTTAAATGACTTGTATGTTTGAATTAGGTTTGCACCTATTCACTTTATTTTGAGACAGCGGACAGTTAAGTGCTTACATTGAAGTGTTCAATGATATCTAGTATCACCTATTAATAGGTTGCAATTTTGATACGACTGCGTTTTATTTTAATCAGATATTGATTAAAAAAATAAAACTAGCTTTTCTTGAACAATAGGGGTGCCTTTTTGCCTTTTTCAATCATTAACAAATGCAGTGTAGTCACGGAATTTGGGGTTCTTGTTGAATTTCCTGTTCACAGATTTTAATGTTTTTCTGCCATTTTACTATCATCTGGCATCTTACAATAGTCCATTATGAATGGAAGTGGCAAATAATCACACTTATCCTTGAGCTTAACTGAGCTATCCATCATGTCTGTGAATCGTTTGTCCTCAATTGTCATTTCAGTCCTTTTCTTCACATTTATTTTCAGGTAAGTCCTTATTATTTGATTATTTTGCTGAAGGAGCAGGTTGTCCAATGTTGATAGTGATATGTAATTGACAAGCAGATATGATGCCAATTCTGAGTCCTTTAAAATACAGTCATTGTGAAGCTGTCATGATTCTGTTTGTGACCAACAGGTGGCACTGTAGGGCTCTCCCTGCAGCTGCACACCTGTTGGTCGTTATGCAATTATTGCTTTAAAAGGACTCCCTGCACGACAACTAAGTGTTGGGTCGTTGTTTGTTTCTTTGCTGCTGTCACGTTTGCTTGTTCTGTGATGTTTGGCTCATGTATAGGTCATGTTTCTGTTAATGTTAGTTTTGAGCTTCTGCCATGGTTTTTGTTTGATACTTCGGACTTTGTTTGTTTTGGATTTAGTTTTCTCTGGTTTTAATCAATACAATTCGTCAAAACAAACTGCTCATCCCTCCTGCCTGCTTTTTGGGGTCCACCACCACCTCGCAACGTGACAGAAGCAGACCACCCTAATAGACTCTTGACAGCATACAGTCCACCAATTTGGACCTTCCATGACTCCGTGAGCTAGGGTGCATTGTTTCCAATTAGGAGTCCTATTTACGCATATATCTGTGACAGTTGGATCTCATTCAAATGTGACCATTGTACACTTCAGCAGACTGCACACCTCCAGGCCAGTCAGTACATATTTTGTTTCTAGCTTCTCGTGTCCTAGAGTTAGAAGAGTAGCTGAACTACCTGAATCGACAAAGGCAGAAGTTTGAATGATCTGTCCGAGCTCTGATGTTTAACCTGCACTAGCTATGTCTCGATCATGCCATGGCATTTATGCTAATTGAATGTTAACTTTGACCCTTTCGTGCACCCTGTAACCTGATAAACCGTCCACTGCAGTAACCGCTGTCCCTGAAACGGATATAAAATAATACTTGGGGACTTCTTATGTTAGTTTTAAATATCTAATCTGTTGACAATGGCATGCTGTTCTATACTTAATTCATCTACCTTACATCAATGCCTGTGTGGACTGTCAACATTCCAGTGGTGTAATGCCTGAATTAGGCACTAGAGGTTAGCAATATGTAAAGTATATCACAAGTCACTGCTGTCTGGACTGGTGTAGGGATGAAGTGCTGCAACAGTCAGTGCGCAGTCACAGGATTAGATTAATTTTGATTAGAATATGAAATGAAGAGAAATTAGAATACCTCAACAGATTTTTTTACGCAAATTTTAGATACCATCCACCGTCATCTTAATATCTGTGGTAATTATCCTGTGGTATTTTGATGAAAAGAAATATTTTTGTCTATTTTTTTTTTTACTCATGACATCTTAGTTTAGTTACATTTTACCATGCAGCGAATTAACGCTTATTATTATTGTTATTATTAGCATCAGACTCTTTGATTAAACAAATCCAATCAGATTTTTATTACATTTATTAATTCATCTTCATACAGTTCTGAGTTTATTTCATGGTACCATCTGCGAAGCACCAACAAAAGTTTTGTAGCTTTGTAGATCCTGGTTAATGTGAGTAGTGAGTATAGCCCAAGACACAGGCACCATCATTCATCTTGTTACGTCTGTCAGCAACCAGATAATCAAGACGTAGACTTTCACATTTACACTCCTGTCTCCAAATGATTCTTGATTTTCCTTGATGTGGTGAACTGGATTTTCTTCACTAAAGAGTTTTACAATCATCCATTATAGTTGTCCTCTGTGGTCCTCCATGGTTCTGTTTGTTTAGTTTTGGTAGAAGGCAGGCTCGGAGGGCGTTTCCTCCAGCTCCATATGGGATCACCATCATTCATCGTGACCCGCCTTTATAAGACTGCCACGTTGACAACTCGTCGGATTATTGCTGCCTTGCTCACGACTCTCATACTAAGTACCTGAATTGACTTTTTCTAAATGCTGTCATATTTTTCTGAAAGCTTTGGTTTACCAAAGTGTTCTGTTTTCCAGTGTTTCTTGTTGCCCCTGCAATTAGCTTGCTACTGGGCTAAGGTGTACGCTGCCTCTTTCCCAAAGTCAGCTGGGATAAATTCAAGCTCACCCCAATCCATATGAGGGTCAGCAACTCAGAGGTTTTAAAAATGGATGGATGAATTGACTCTTGCTTGAAGATAAACTATTATGTCAGTGCGTCGTATTGTCCCCATGTACCCTCTAGATGTCAGGAGTGAGCTTGTAGCCGCACAATGAGGTCTCCCCTGTTTGGTTCTGTAGGTGTCCTCTGGAGCACTCTTGTGCCACACATTTTTGCACCCCTGATTTGTTGCGCTCTGTAAACAGCAGAAGTAATGGAAGAAAAGGCGTTGAGGTCGTACAGATTGCACTGACGAGTCTGAGAAAGGACGAGTGAGTTCATGTGTCAAATAGTTGAAGCCAGGGACCAATTGTTAAATCGGGGCTGTTCGGCAGAGCGCTGTCAGCAGGAGGGCAGAAGGATGTGGAGTCATTAGGCTCCAACTTAAATGCTTTCCTGATGAAAGATTGATTGTGGTTCAGGGAGGGGTGAGAGTCTCTGCGTTGCATTTTTAACTCTCCTCGTTGGTGGTGGTGTTGCAAGTATTCAAATTGTCTGAAGACAACAAAGCTGGAAGAAGAAAAATATTGCTTGCTGTGATTTGGCATATGGCCTACAATTCATATCACAGTATGAATGAAATCCCTTCATGGTAAACATATTTCGCATTACATATGAAGATTTTTTTTTTTTCTTGACTGCTTACCCTTGGTAGGGTTGCAGGTGTGCTGGAGCCTATCCCACCTGCCATTTGGTCACCCTGAATTGGTCACCAGCAAATCACAGGGCACACATCGGAAATTAACCATTCCTACTTACAAAGGCACAGGGAGAACATGCAAAATGCAGTGTTGGAGCTACACATATACGTTTTGGTGACAATTTAATTGCAATTTGGCACACCAGGCGATGTTTAGATTTCTACATTATGGTTTTGACCAGGGGTCACCAACATTGTTCCCGCAGGCACCAGATAGCCCTCAAGGCCCACATAAGTGGCCCGGGGGCCTGTTCTAAAAATAGCTCACCAGTGATGAAGCATTGTGATTTTCTAGTAGTGTTGTCAAAGTAAGAATTTGAAAATGCAAACTCTGGCAAAGGTTTCTAGAAATAGTATCGCATATTGAAATTGATGTTTCCTAATTATTGTGAGATGAACATTTATAACCGCAACATCATTCACCCCAATCCGTCCATCCTTTTTCAACACCGTTTATCCTAAATGGAGTTTTTTACAGCAGCATTATGAAAAGTAATTTCAGAAAATGTCTTATTTCAGGGGCGACATGGTGGTCGACTGGTAATCACGCCGGCCTCACAGGGCAGAGGAGCAGGGTTCAATTCCGGCTGCGGCCTTCCTCTGCGGAGTTTGCATGTTCTCCCCGTGCCTGTGTGGGTTTTCTCCGGCTTCTCTGGTTTCCTCCCACATTCCAAAAACATGCATGGCATGTTAATGGAACATTCTAAATTGTCCTTAGGTGTGATTGTGAGCTTGAATGGCTGTTTGTCTCCGTGTGCCCCTTTGATTGGCTGGAAACTAGAGATAAGATCTTAAGCCCAAGCCTGAGCCCAACCCGACCCGACCCGAAATTCGGGTCGGGTCGGGCCTAAAATGTCAATCATTGCTTCGGGTCGTTTCAGGCCGGGCTTCTCTCTCACTAACTTTTTTAAAATAAATATATGTTTTTAAAAATGTATACTAAAACGAT